ACACCCCAACACCACCTACACCCACACCCCAGCACCACCCACACCCACACCCCACCGCCACCCACACCCCACCACCACCCACACCCGCACCCCACCACCACCCACACCCGCATCCCACCACCTCCAGGTAACCTCCAGGTAACCACCCACACCCCACCACCACCCACACTGGTGCCCCAGCACCACCCACACCCACACCCCAGCACCACCCACACCCCAGCACCACCCACACCCCACCACCACCCACACCCCAGCACCACCCACACCCACACCCCAGCACCACCCACACCCCAACACCACCCACACCCACACTCCACCACCACCCACACCCACACTCCACCACCACCCACACCCACACTCCACCAACCACCCACACCCACACTCCACCACCACCCACACCCACACTCCACCACCACCCACACCCACACTCCACCACCACCACACCCACACTCCACCACCACCCACACCCACACCCCAGCACCACCCACACCCCAGCACCACCCACACCCACACCCCAGCACCACCTACACCCACACCCCAGCACCACCCACACCCACACCCCACCGCCACCCACACCCCCACCCACCCACACCCGCACCCACCACCACCCACCCCCGCATCCCACCACCTCCAGGTAACCTCCAGGTAACCACCCACACCCCACCACCACCCACATGGTGCCCCAGCACCACCCACACCCACACCCCAGCGCCACCCACACCCGCACCACACCACCACCAACACCCCACCACCACCCACACCCCAGCACCACCGACACCCGCACCCAGCACCACCCACACCCGCACCCCAGCACCACCCACACCCGCACCCCAGCACCACCCACACCGGAAACCCGCACCCCAGCACTATCCACACCCGAACTTGCATCCCAGCATCATCTATACCCGCACCCCAGCACCACCCACACCCGCACCCCAGCACCACCCATACCCGCACCCCAGCACCACCCACATCCGCAGCGCCAGCACCGGCACACACACCCCATACCCCAGCATGACCCACACCCATACTACCAGCACAATCACACCACCACCCACGCCCGTACCCCAGCACCACCCACACCCAGCACCAATCACACCCATATTACCAGCACCACCCTCATCACCAGTCCACGTAGCACCAACAGAACCACTAACACAACCTGCATTTCCCACACCACCAGTACTACCCGCATTACCCATACCAGTACCACCAGCGGCACCCACACCTCCAGTTCACCTACACCACCAGCATTACCCATGCTACCCGCACCACCAGCATTACCCACACCACACGCATCAACAGCATTACACACCTGCAGCAGAACCAGCATTACCCACACCAGCAGCACCACCATCACCACAACATAAACACAGCAGCAGGTGGAGCAGAAGAGCTGCAGTGCTCCACAACAAAGGCAGGAACACGAGGGAGCAGCAGGCAAATGAGGAGACACTGAGATTACGCCCAGAACTCAAGCAACTCAGGAAACCTGGTACGAGAGACACGGAAGAAGCACGCGGCAGAGGGACATAGGACACGGGAGTGGGACATAGAAACGCACGGCAGTGGGACATAGATATACACGGGAGTGGGACAAAGAAGGACACTTGAATAGGATATAGAACACGGGAGTGAGAAATGAGAAGGCACGTCAGTGAAAGTCAAACAACTGGACTCTTCTTATGACTGATAAGAAGCCGCAAACCAAATTCTGGGTGAATTTATTGATACCGTATCATCGATATCCAGTAAAAGAGAAAGAGGTGGAGGAGGAGGAATAAGTGGAGGAGGAATAAGTGGAGGAGGAATAGGAGGAGGAGAAGCAGTATGTAGTGGGAGAAATGACTGATTGGTTGACTGACATTATCTTGGGCGTGCAGCAGGCACACATGAAGAGCAACGTGCTCAGGTCTGATATTTGGTTCTGTGGTGGAAGTTGTTCTCCAGGTCACCTGAAAGAAATTTCAAGAGAATACCAAAACGCGCGAATTTTCAAAAAATTTCCCTGAAATATCTGTTTTGAATTCACGAGTTAAGTTAGAACGACGACTGAAGAGAAGTTATCAATGAGTCTACAGGGTAAGCAAGAATAACAGTGAGATACTTGACGTATGACTACTGCTCAAACTACAGACACATCATTTTCACACACAAAAAATAAAGAAATAAAATGAACTATAACATAACAATGCAAAAGAAAAATAGGATCGCATTAAAAGAAAAAATGAAATTAGAAGAAAAGGTAAATAACAGTTATAAGGGAAATTTCCAAGAGTTATTAGTGAGTGCAGGCAGAGAAGACAGTAGCAGCAAGCAATCAAGTTAAAGATATCTTAAAGCAGACAAATTTATAAAAGTTTTAAACGGTAATTATGCAAAAAAAAAAAAACTGTCAATAATACTTTCCTCATGCTGCACTAAATCTCTAAGCTTTGGACACAAAAAAACCACCTATGATAAATGCACACTAGCAAAATATTTAAAAAATGCATTTCTCATTTAATTTTGAAATTGTTTTCGAATTGGAGCTGTTTCCTGGTGTCAAAGTAACATTATGTTTGCATTGTAACAACTTAACTTTTTATAAAAGCTCTATGCAACATTCTGAGATTAAAAACTTTCAACAAAAAATAGATTATCTAATAAACCTCTTAATGCCTTATCTATAAACATTGTTATATATAAAGTGCACAAACATTTAACTTCAGGTATCGACGTAGAAAAGCGAAAATAACAATAAAAATGTTTACTTATGATAAATAGCTTAAAAAATTATACACACTTAAGGAACTATGCATAAATAGGCACAACTTTTGAATGTGAGAGCTTTGTCTGCGAGCTTCAGTAATGCTCAAGCTTCTCACAGCGGCCACGTCACATTTTTTGCCGCTTATACTGGATATTGTTGGAATTTGGGATTTTTCTCACACAGAATTTCATCCAAGCTAGTATAAGCATCTCCCATTAAAGATGTCACTTAAAAAGGGATGTGAAGTACCAACTCCTGTCGTTAGCTTCCTCGTTGATGTTCGAGTGGTTTTCCAATGGTTTTATAATCACTACTGGCAAGTAATATAGCCAGGTAAATGAACTCACGTCTCATTTGTCTCAGGTCACTGGCTCGAACCTCTAAAGAAGATCACTACTTTGAGCACTTATCAATCTGTTTTTATCAAATTAAATTTTTTAGAACCTACAGAATGGAAGCAAAGATGATCTCATTATTTTCTTGAAAGATGTGGTCGGCCTCAACGTTCTGATTGTGTTGGTTGGTCACTGTATCCTTTTCTACTAACAAGATTTTTCTTATTTCTTTTAACACATTTCAATGTTTTACAAGAGAATTTAACAGGAAACAGCTCCATATCTACTTTTCTTAAACCTAAATCAATGAAGGCTAACTGGCACTCAAAGAAAAGGGAGCCGTAGAGTTCAGTGGAATAAGGGAAGTGGTGTGTGTGCTCTGTTATTGTCACTTAGGGAGTGACTAGTGTGAGGGGTCATAAGTGTCAGGGGTGTCTTATAAATCGTCCTCTAAATAACAAGCATGTTATGCAGCATATTACAATGTGTTAGATTCTGCACAGTCTGAGCTTAGACCAACAGTTATTCAAGCTTAAGTTACTTTAACCTTAATTAACCTATATTAACGTCAATAACCAAATTACATAAATGAGAGGGTAGCATGGCAGAAGTGAAGACATCGCTGACCCTCCAGTTGTTGGAAACCACACGCTTGCTATTTACGGTGGAGAACTGGTATATTATTAAGAGTACACATGGGTGTGTATGAGGCACGGAGAAGACGCAGAGGTAACTATTTTAGGCTTATTGAGATAATAATGTCACATATTTTCAATATCTTGTTCTGGGATGTTTTTATAGCCAGTTTGAAGTAATATATATTATTTGCTAATTGTGTGATTTAATTTTTCTTCTATAATATAATAAAATACATTTTGGAAATATAGCAGTCGTTTACTCTAGTTTAACAGCTGCTTCTTAATAATTTGGAGAAGCTGAATCCAAACCTGAACTTAGTTTTGCTCCAACACTTACACTTTCTGTGAAATAGAATCCCACTGTCACCACTGTTACTTTTCAGCTATATTATTGTCTACTGAGTGCTTGGTTAATTTAAGGAAAATGATTCATGGTTTTGTCTGATATTTTGTGGATTTTTGAGATTGGTTTCTGAACTGGACTGAAAGCTTAGATTTGTTGGCTAATGTTTCTAGCACAGCCGAATATACATGCCTACTCATTTAACTGAAAGTACAACTTTCTTGTATGAGTGATGGTGAATGTGTTTCCTGAGGAACAGCTTGTAATCCGGGTTCAAATCTAATTCACAACCAATAAACAATTTCAGAGGAAACTTGCAACGAAATTTCTTTCCCCTAAAATAATCGGTCCTGGACCTCTGTCAAGCCACAGCTTGACCCAGGACGTACCGAAGCCTCTTCTAAGGTTTCCTCTTCAAATTGTGGTCAGTTGTTAATAGTTCCATCCACTGTATTGTGATTTTGCAGTTCTAGCGTGTGTAGCACCGCCCTCTGATATTATGTTTCCAGCAGTTATTTTTCTTCCACTGAATGAATATGTTATCGTAAGGTCAAAGAGCGACCTTAATAGTTGGGCCAGCGTGAAAGAGTATTGGATGGTGTTCACTAATTGGTCATCTGAAACTGTTGTCGCCGCCTGTTGCCTTCACCGTAGCCTCACACACCTGGCTCGTCTGAGGCAGGAGGGATGAAGGGGGAAGGGGGAAGGGAGAACTAAAGGTGTGTGGCATGTGAAGGGGAACTGAGCATAAAAGAGGGAAAAGGGACCGAAGGTAGAGCACAGGTGAGGGGTGTAGAGGGAATACAGGTAAGGCAGAAGAAGAAGAAGCACAGGTGAGGATGCAGGTACGGAGGAGGAAGTGTAGGTAAAGGTTCGGGTGAGGTAGCAGGAGGGAGTCAGGAGGGGGACAGAGAAGAACCAGAGTTACTTACCTGTTGTTGAGCCAGCAGTAAATCATGGGGTTGTACATGGAGTTGGACATGGCCAGCCAGTATATAGCCAGGAAGGTCTCTTGGATGTAGTCAGTGTGTGCTATCTCTGGCATCTGAGAACACAACAAGAACAACACTCCCTCACCTCATGAACCCTCCAACATCCTAACAATTATTATACATACTAATGAAAATAATTAACAGATAATTAAAATCATTAATAAAGAGACGAAAGCTAACCGTGCATTCTTAAAGATATCTAAAAGACAATTACACGTTCTTAAAGACACAAAGGTCAGAGATAATATTACATTCTTAAAGACACCTTACGATTATTGAACTTTCTTAAATAAACCTCGAAGATAATCATACCTTCATAAACACATCTCAGAGACGAATGTTACCTTCCTAAGGGTGCATCAAGGATAATTCTTACCCTTCTACAAGTCTGAAAGATGTGTGTCATTATTCAAGGTATTCACTTTACAACCCTGGTTCACTAACAAGGTTCCGAGCGTCGAATTCCGAACGTTTCCTGTAAACTCATGAGTACTATTTTCTTTATTTCAAGTTTGGATAGGTTAGTTAAGGTTAGAATAAGTTACATAAACCCACAAGAACGTATATTTAACTAGAAGTAACCAAGTTAAAAACGGCAATAACACGTCTGACAGTGCAGCAGCTGGAGGCAACCATTAAACGTTCAATCCTCACAAAATAATACAATGATATTATTAACTGTAGATAATATAACAATATTTGGGTGAAAATGCTATTTAAAATATATCTATTCTATCATTGTAGAGATAATTAGATCCTTGTTATGTGACATCAAACTATGACAAATATTTCTTCATGTATTAAACTCAAGGCATACATAAATGTAAATTGAATGATCAGTATAAAAATGTATGATAATATTAACAATGACTCACGAAATCCTAATGATATGATAGTATGTTCTTTGGACGAATCTTACTGGGCCAGTATAGTACAGGAGCACAGTCCTGCTAGCTTTAGGACTGGCTTGTCTTGGGTTCGAGCCCTGTCGTGCCATGAGTGTTGCCAATATTACTGCAGTCTAGTACTGAATTTCTTTCACTGATTAGTTCATCTCAGTGTAATGTCGGAACTGGCTCTAACACCTAGCCAAAGAAGAGTAAAAATTAGGCAATAATTCGTAATTACATGTGTATTATGAATTAACAGAAGGAAGGATGGGGGCTCGAACCGCGGTCCGCGAATCGACAGTCTCTCACTCTTGCGTCTGGGCTACTGAGCTTCCAATAAAAATATCTCGGACTATATTAGTGGTTCAGTGAGCGTAGTACTCAACTATATTAGTGGTTCAGTGAGCGTAGAACTCAACTGTATTAGTGGTTCAGTGAGTGTAGTACTCAACTTTAGAAGTGAATCAGAGCATCTATATTCTCAGAATGATGTATTTGTTCCCTGTTTGCATTTAGCGGGTTTTCAAACATTCAAATATTGATTTAATATTTTTGTTTTTGGAACACGTTTGATACTGAATTTTTGTGCTCGGTGGAGTTGATTCTTATTTGTGTGTGTGGTGTGTGTGTGTGTGTGTGTGTGTGTGTGTGTGTACTCACCTAGTTGTACTCACCTAGTTGAGGTTGCGGGGGTCGAGTCCGAGCTCCTGGCCCCGCCTCTTCACTGGCCGGTACTAGGTCACTCTCCTGTACCGTGAGCTTTATCATACCTCTGCTTAAAGCTATGTATGGATCCTGCCTCCACTACATCGCTTCTCAAACTATTCCACTTCCTGATTACTCTGTGGCTGAAGAAGAACTTCCTAACATCCCTGTGATTCATGTGTGTCTTCAACTTGCAACTGTGTCCCCTTGTTGCTGTGTCCCATCTCTGGAACATCCTGTCTTTGTCCACCTTGTCAATTCCTCTCAGTATTTTGTGTGTCGTTATCATGTCCCCATATCTCTCCTGTCCTCCAGTATCGCCAGGTTGATTTCCTTTAACCTCTCCTCGTAGGACATACCTCTTAGCTCTGGGACTAGTCTTGTTACAAACCTTGGCACTTTCTCTAGTTTCTTTACATGCTTGGCTAGGTGTGGGTTCCAAACTGGTGCCGCATACTCCAATATGGGCCTAACGTACACGGTGTACAGGGTCCTGACCGATTCCTTATTAAGATGTCGGAATGCTGTTCTGAGGTTTGCTAGGCGCCCATATGCTGCAGCAGTCATTTGGTTGATGTGCGCTTCAGGAGATGTGCCTGGTGTTTTACTCGCCACAAGATCTTTTTCCTTGAGTGAGGTTTGTAGTCTCTGGCCCCCTAGACTGTATTCTGTCTGCAGTCTTCTTTGCCCTTCCCCAATCTTCATGACTTTGCACTTGGTGGGGTTGAACTCCAGGAGCCAATTGCTAAACCAGGTCTGCAGCCTGTCCAGATCCCTTCGTAGTTCTGCCTGGTCTTCGATAGAATGAATTCTTCTCATCGGCTTCACGTCATCTGCAAACAGGGACACTTTGGAGTTTATTCCTTCCGTCATGTCGTTCACAAATACCAGAAACAGCACAGGTCCTAGGACTGACCCTTGTGGGACCCCGCTGGTCACAGGTGCCAACTCTGACGCCTCGCCACGTACTATGACTCGCTACTGTCTTCCTGACAAGTATTCCTGATCCACTGTAGTGCCTTCCCTGTTATCCCTGCTTGATCCTCCAGTTTTTGCACCAATCTCTTGTGTGGAACTGTGTCAAACGCCTTCTTGCAGTCCAAGAAAATGCAATCCACCCACCCCTCTCTCTCTTGTCTTACTGCTGTCACCATGTCAAAGAACTCCAGTAGGTTTGTGACACAGGATTTCCCGTCCCTGAAACCATGTTGGCTGCTGTTGATGAGATCATTCCTTTCTAGGTGTTCCACCACTCTTCTCCTGATAATCTTCGCCATGACTTTGCATACTATACATGTCAGTGACACTGGTCTGTAGTTTAGTGCTCCATGTCTGTCTCCTTTCTTAAAGATTGGGACTACATTTGCTGTCTTCCATGCCTCAGGCAATCTCCCTGTTTCGATAGATGTATTGAATATTGTTGTTAGGGGTACATATAGCACCTCTGCTCCCTCTCTCAGGACCAATGGAGAGATGTTATCCTGCCCGATTACCTTTGAGGTATCTAGCTCACTCAGAAGTCTCATCACTTCTTCCTCGGTTGTGTGTACTGTGTCCAGCAATTGGTGGTGTACCCCACCTCTCCGTCTTTCTGGAGCCCCTTCTGTCTCCTCTGTGAACACTTCTTTGAATCTCTTGTTGAGCTACTCACATACTTCACGGTCATTTCTTGTTGTCTCACTTCCTTACTTCCTTAGCCTGATTACCTGCTCCTTGATTACCTGGTCCTCCTGATGTGGCTGTATAACAGCTTCGGGTCAGATTTGGCTTTCGCTGCTATGTCGTTTTCATATTGTCGCTGGGCCTCCCTTCTTATCTGTGCATATTCATTTCTGGCTCTACGACTGCTCTCCTTATTCTCCTGGGTCCTTTGCCTTCTATATTTCTTCCATTCCCTAGCACACTTGGTTTTTGCCTCCCTGCACCTTTGGGTGAACCATGGGCTCATCCTGGCTTTTTTATTATTCCTGTTACCCTTGGGTACAAACCTCTCCCCAGCCTCCTTGTACATGGTTGTTACATATTCCATCATCTCATTAACTGGCTTCCCTGCCAGTTCTCTGTCCCACTGAACCCCGTTCAGGAAGTTCCTCATTCCCGTGTAGTCCCCTTTCTTGTAGTTTGGCTTCATTCCCCCTCCACTTGTAGCTCTGTGTATTCGAAGCTTAAAACCACATGATCGCTGACCCCAAGGGGTCTTTCGTATGTGATGTCTTCAATATCTGCACTACTCAAGGTGAATACTAAGTCCAGTCTTGCTGGTTCATCCTCTCCTCTCTCTCTTGTAGTGTCCCTTACGTGTTGGTACATGAAGTTTTTCAGTACCACCTCCGTCATCTTAGCCCTCCATGTATGTTGGCCCCCATGTGGCTCCAAGTTCTCCCAATCAATTTCCTTGTGGTTAAAGTCACCCATGATCAGGAGCTTTGCCCTGCATGCATGAGCTCTTCTGGCCACTGCAGCCAGTGTGTCAACCATCGCTCTATTGCTCTCGTCATACTCTTGCCTTGGCCTCCTGCTGTTCTGTGGTGGGTTATACATCACTGCAATTACCACTTTGGGACCTCCAGAGTGAAGCGTTCCTGCTATGTAATCGCTTGCTTCTCCGCTGTGTGTGTACTAACCTATTTGTACTCACCTATTTGTGGTTGCAGGGGTCGAGTCTTAGCTCCTGGCCCCGCCTCTTCACCGGTTGCTACTGGGCCCTCTCTCTCCCCGCTCCATGAGCTTTATCAAACCTCGTCTTAAAACTGTGTATGGTTCCTGCCTCCACTACGTCATTTTCTAGGCTATTCCACTGCCTTACAACTCTATGACTGAAGAAATACTTCCTACTATCTCTCTGATTCATTTGTGTCTTCAACTTCCAATTGTGGCCTCTTGTTTCTGGTGTCCCCTCCCTGGAACATCCTGTCTTTGTCCACCTTGTCTATTCCACGCAGTATTTATATGTCGTTATCATGTCTCCCCTAAACCCCCCTGTCCTCCAGTGTCGTCAGGCCGATTTCCCTTAATCTTTCTTCATAGGACATTCCCCTTAGCTCTGGAACTAACCTTGTCGCAAACCTTTGTACTTTCTCTAGTTTCTTGACGTGCTTTATCAAGTGCGGGTTCCAAACAGGTGCTGCATACTCCAGTATGGGCCTGACATACACGGTGTACAGTGTCGTGTGTGTGTGTGTGTGTGTGTGTGTGTGTGTGTGTGTGTGTGTGTGTGTGTGTGTGTGTGTGTGTGTGTGTAACACACCTAATTGTGGTTGCAGGGGTCGATTCACAGCTCCTGGCCCCTCCTCTTCTCTGGTCGCTACTAAGTCACTCTCCCCACTCCTAGACCCTTATCATACCTGTTCTTAAAACTATGAATGATACTTGCCTCCACTGCTTCACTCTCCAGATTATTCCACTTCCTGACAACTCTAAGGCTAAAGAAATACTTCCTAACATTCCTATGACTCATC